TTATGGTAAAAGGATTATTTAAGTACATTAGAAACTGCCCAACTGGCGTGAGGCCAGAGCCACTCATCCTTTCTACTGAAACGAAACGCAAAAGCAGAGATCCAACAGCAGCTAAAGCAATTCTTGTGTGTGACTTCATAGCAATAGTGTTCTGGCTATTGGACATAGTACACGATGCAAAAAGTCCTCGGAGAGATATATTGCACTGTATGGTGCTGATTTCAAGGAATACACCTCAAGGCTCATCAGATTTGTGGAAATGCTGCGTCACATTGACATCAGTAGAACCTGTGTTCTTTTGGGATGGTCCAAGAGGATCGGATAATGCATATAGGATGAAGTTATCTACTTGGGAGAAGAGGACAAAGGATTCGTTGGAGGTCATACTTTCTCATTCGCTCATAACTAAGTACGATGCAAAGACTGAAGTTAAATTTGGGAAAAAGATTAAGAGGCCACTCCTTGTTACCGAGCTCGTGATGACACTCCAAGAAGCAAAAGTTGAATTAATTACGTGCAAAGGAGAGGCTGATAATTTGATGGCGGAATACATGCGTGTACATGGTAACGTCTGTGGCATACTGACCAATGATACTGACATGATGCTGATGCATGGAGTAACGGCTATTCACTACAAGTTATTTGATCAAAGAGGTGCTCTCAGACTTTCTGATGATGAAGTATCAGAAGATTACAAGGTTGCTGAAGTGCATTGTGGTGCTATTAGTCCAGGCTACCTTGCAAAACGCCTTAAAATCAATGAAAAGTGTCTACCAGCTTTCTCAATCCTCTGTGGTAATGATTTTACAGGGAACTTGAATGATGAGATCAATATAAAGAAATTAGTATTTGGATACAAGCACTATGTTCGGATTAGTGACTATATCAAGAGAGTGCTGACATGGATCAAACACAATGAAGACGCTTGCATGAGGCCAACCACATTGCTGATATATGTGAGAAGGAACCACGCTACACTAAAGCTGTGCGTCACTCTTATGCCTTTTATACATGCTCTAATCCTGCTTCAGTTGCTGCAATTATGCCAGCTGCATCCTCCAATTCAGTAAGCAGGGATAGTAATGATGAGAGTCAAGACAGTACAGAAGAAGAGTATGATGATACTACTGCAATACCTTTTTGTATCAAGGATATTGCATCTGGATCCAATGAATCAGTGGGAGATGTTAAAGTAAATTCAAGCAATGCTTTAGATAATAATGAATGTTCTGATGATGATGACGAAGTTTTTGCAAAGCCACCAAATATCAATACTGCATACAGCATTGATAAAAAAGCTGGTAGCATTGATGAAGCAGACAGCATTGATGATGAAGAAAATGAAGTTTCTCTGCCTGATTCATTCTTTCATCAATCAGATAGTGATTCTACTGTCAGTTCTGATGAAAGTCACAATACCGTTTCTCCCGCTATTTATGAGCTTGTTGTTTTGGAAGTAAGCAGTCTTAGACTGGATCGCAAGTGTTTGCCAGTTGTGAAGAATGGCATATTGTGGAGGGACGAGATTGAGCAGCTCGATGATGAATTGCCTTGCGTTTATGATGTCCTTCAACCAGTTCCTATGATCATCTATAAGCTACTTTGCTGTGAAAGTGTTACCGAGTTTGGCCAAAGTAAGATAAATGAGTTTATACAAAAACGAATAAAGGTTCTAAGCCCATGTATCTTCCCAGATGACCTCAGCACACTCAGAGAGGAATTATCCCGTGAGCAAAAGATATCATTGCTCATTGAAGCTTTTAAGGAGCCTTATTACATTGCTTTGCTTCAACCATTTGCAAAATTTCTCAAAGATATACCTCCAACTAGTCGAGTTCCTGATATTGGCTCACTGCTGGCATGTGTTTGCTTCATATATTCATATCGAAACAAGCTCATACCAGAGGATTATGTCACACCAATACTTCAGGCATTCTTCTATTGCTCCTTAGAGAAGCTACCTCCTCGTATATCAGCTCGTCCTGGTCACGTAAAGAATACAAGATGAAATTATCTACTTGGGAGAAGAGAGCGAAGGATTCATTAGAGGTCATGCATGCATTCACATTCATTCATAACAAAATACAATGCAAAGACTGAATTAAATTTAGAAAAAATTAATTGCTGATGCAACCACTATGTTACTGAGCTCATGATGGAACTCCAAGAAGCAAAAATTACGTGCAAAGGAGAGGCTGATGGTAAGGTCTGTGGTATATTGACCAATGATACAGACATGATGCTGATACATGGAGTAACGACTATTCACTACAAGTTTTTTGATCAAGAAAATGCTCTCAAACTTTCTGATGATCACATATCAGATAATTACAAGATTGCTGAAGTGCATTGTGGTGCTATTAGTCCAGGATATCTTGCAAGACGCCTTAAAGTAGATAAAAAGTGTCTACTAGCTCTCTCAACTCTTTGTGGTAATGATTTTAATAAGATGATGAGATAGATATAAAGAAATTAGTATTTGGATGCATAAACTATGACTATGTTAGGACTTATGAGTATATCAAAACAGTGCTCAAATGGATCAAGGACAATGAAGATGCTACACTGCAGCTGTGCATTACTCATATGCCATTTATACACAGTCTCATCCTATGCCAGCCTCCAGTGCGAATTCTTTTGTCAGTACTACACTGCTTCTCCTCTTTATGATTTTATTGCCTCCGAAGTTAAAATAGATCACATGTGTTTGCCAGTTGTGCGTAATGGCATATTGTGGAGAGACGAGATTGAGCAGCTTGACAAAAAATTGTGTTGTATTTATGATGTCCTCTAACCAGTCAGTCTGTATGATCATCTACAAGCTACTTTGCTGTGAAAGTGTTACAGAGCTTGGCCAGAGTAAGATAGATGAGTATGTACAAAAACCAATAAATGTTCAACCCATGTGTGCCAAAAGACTTTGACACACTATTACCCTGTTCACACTACCCTTCAGAACTATACATGGAACTGGGTTTTGGGGAAGTATAGTGTAATTTTTATAACAAGTGTGAACATAACTAAACTGCACTACTGTAACCAAACCAAACCAGGCTAAAGTGGTGCACCAAAGTAAGTGCTCTGAAATGGTGCAGTTAAGTTTTGAAGTGAAGTTGGTGTAGTTAAGTTGTGCAGTGTGAACTGCTACCAGTATGGTTTTTTATAACCAAACTTATATAATTGGGTACAGTTCTGTACATCTGGGGAGGAAGTGTGAACACACTATTAGAAAGAAAATATCCCATGAGCAAAAGATATTATTGCTTGTTGAAGTTTTACTGCATTGTTTTGCTACCATTTATGAAATCTCTCAAAAATATACCTCCAGTTGATTGAGTTCCTGATATTGGCTCACTGCTGGCATGTGTTTGCTTCATATATTCATATCGAAACAAGCTCATACCAGAGGATTATGTCACACCAATACTTCAGGCATTTTTCTATTGCTCCTTAGAGAAGCTACCTCCTCGTATATCAGCTTGTCCTGGTCCAACTGGTGTAATGATGTCCTCTCATTTGATGATCACTCTTACTCATGCTAGATGGTTCTTATCATTATTGGGCATCCATCAAGAACTTCCTTTGCCTTCATCTGTGTTTCAACCATATGTCTACATTCCTTTACATGAAACAGCTTTCAAATTGAAGCAGAAAAAAATTTTCATGGCGATGATGCACCAGCAAAGGAATACTATGAGCTTCTTTCCAATAACGACTGTTAAAGATTGTCATTATCACTTCTCTTTGTTTCTCTCTCAGTTTTTTGCAAAAGAGTTGTTTTATAGAATCACAACAAAACCCTCAATTCCAAATGAGCCAAAGATCAAATAATAACTGATAATAATGATAATACACTAATAATAATGGTTAATTGTGGTCGTTACATTTATTGTTTTCTTGCAATGTCTCTGATTAATTGTGTACATGTTTGTCTGATGTTTTAAAATTCAAATCAATTATAGATTTGTAATACCTAACTTGTCAGAAAATTATGAAGAGGTGTGTTTAGATCTGTAATAAAAATCATTATTAATGATGAATAATTAGGGTTTGGCAGATTATGCTCTAAAATTGCTCTACTATGCTATGCTGCAATTCTCAGAAAACAGCTCTATTATGCTCTACCAATCAGCCATTATGCTCCCAATTATGCCCATGAATTTCATTATAATAACTTAGCCCCACCCAAAAATCTGAGCCTGTAATTCAATTATGAAGTTCTTGACAATATTGTGAGCAATAGTAACTGTTTAAACATGAAAACAGTTAATTTATTGAGTGCAAGTGCCTGTTTATTGCATTTCTCAATGCAATTTTTCAAAATTTTCTTTTATAGTTCTATTATGCTTACATTATGCATTTATACTTATGCTTTTGGGCCCTATTATGCTCAAAATTATGTTGGCATAATCCGCCAAGGCCTATGAATAATTAAATATAATTATTATTTGTTCTAAATTTAGAGAGAATGATGTCATAGAAATGGGATACAACAAGGCACATGCCTGTTCTATTTTTTATCAGAGGGAGTGTCCAATGAAGTGCCCGAGATTTAGTAACTTCGGCGCATAGAAAAGGATGGGAGTGAAAGGACTATGGAAGTATATTAGCAACTGCGTGAAACCAGAGTCACTCGTTCTCTCTAGTGAAACCAAACGCAAAAGCAGAGATCCCACAGCAGCAAAAGCAATTCTTGTTTGTGACTTCATAGCAATAGTGTTCTGGCTATTGGACATAGTACACAATGCAAAGAAGTCCTCGGACATGTATGGTGCTGATTTCAAGGAATACACCTCAAGGCTTATCAGATTTGTGGAAATGCTGCGTCACATTGACATAGAACCTGTGTTCTTTTGTGATGGTCCAAGAGGATCGGGTAAAGAATATGAGATGAAGTTATCTACTTGGGAAAAGCGGACAAAGGATTCATTGAAGGTCATACTTTCTCATTCGTTCATAACTAAATATGATGCAAAGACTGAAGTTAAATTTGGAAAAAAAATTATGCAACCACTCCTTGTTACTGAGCTAGTGATGGCACTCCAAGAAGCAAAAGTTGAATTAATTACGTGTGAAGGAGAGGCTGATAATTTGATGGCGGAATACATGCGTACACATGGTAACGTCTGTGGTATATTGACTAATGATACAGACATGATGCTGATGGATGGAGTAACGGCTATTCACTACAAGTTATTTGATCAAGAAAATGCTCTCAAACTTTCTGATGATGATATACCAGACGATTACAAGATTGCTGAAGTGCATTGTGGTGCTATTAGTCCAGGTTACCTTGCAAGACGCCTTAAAATCGATGAAAAGTGTCTACCAGCTTTCTCAGTCCTCTGTGGTAATGATTTTACTACAGATTTAAATGATGAGATAGATGTAAAAAAATTAGTATTTGGATACATAAACTATAACTATGTTAAGACTTATGAGTATACCAAAACAGTTCTAAAATGGATCAAAGACAATGAAGAAGCTTGCAAGGACCCAGTCTCATTCTTAGCTATACGTGAGATTGCTGATGTATGTAAGAAGAACCCACGTTACGCTGCAGCTGTGCATTACTCATATGCCTTTTATACATGCTCTCATCCTATGCCAGCCTCCAGTGGGGATTCTTCTGTCAGTACTGCTGCTTCTCCTCTTTGTGATTTTATTGCCTCAGAAGTTAAAATAGATCGCATGTGTTTGCCAGTTGTGCGCAATGGCATATTGTGGAGGGACGAGATTGAGCAGCTTGACGAAAAGTTGTGTTGCATTTATGATGTTCTTCAACCAGTCCGTACAATCATCTACAAGCTACTTTGCTGTAAAAGTGTTACCGAGTTTGGCCAAAGTAAGATAGATGAGTGTGTACCAAGGCCAATAGATGTTCCAAGCCCATGTGTGCCAGAAGACCTTGACACACTTAGAAAGGAAATATCCCATGAGCAAAAGATATCATTGCTTGTTGAAGTTTTTAAGAAGCCTGATCACATTGTTTTGCTTAAATCATTTGCAAAATCTTTTAAAGATATACCTCCAACTAGTCGAGTTCCTGATATTGGCTCACTGCTGGCATGTGTTTGCTTCATATATTCATATCAAAACAAGCTCATACCAGAGGATTATGTCACACCAATACTTCAGGCATTCTTCTATTGCTCCTTAGAGAAGCTGCCTCCTCGTATATTAGCTCGTCCGGGTCCAACTGGTATAACGATGTCCTCTCATTTGATGATCACTCTTACTCATGCTAGATGGTTCTTATCATTATTGGGCCTCCATCAAGAGCTTCCTTTGCCTTCATCTGTGTTTCAACCATACGTCTACATTCCTTTACATGGAACAGCTTTCAAATTGAAGCAGAAAGAAAAATTTCATGGCAATGATGCACCAGCAAAAGAATACTATGAACTTGTTTCTAAAAACGAGGAATTTCAGGATTTCAAGGAGTGCATTTGCTCTGGCAGTGCCATTGATAATATTGGAGCTGTGTGTGTCCAGTATGCACGCACTAAAGATGCCATTAAGGAACTGTTAGATAAAAAAGCTCAAGGCCGCAAAACGAGCAAGTCAAAAAAGAAGTAACTATCTCTAAAACTGACTTATGCTACATAAATGTATATTAGTATTAGTCTGGGGACTCTTGGTCTCCACACCATATGACATTTTATGCTACAAAATGTAGATTTTAACACTTCACTAAGTTTTGTAATTGCTATATAAATATAATTCAAAAGATCCAAAATAATATACCTTAGGGTGGGTATTAATTGTGACACTTAATTTTAGCGTTTTTAGCGAGTGTACTTAAAAAACGGTACCTGTGTAAACAAGTACACAAGAGAGGCAAGATCTGTAACAAGATAACAGTAGATAGGGTGATCCTTTTGAGTGTTATGCATGCTCCAATTAAATATATAAATTGGGCTTCTTGAGTAGTGTTATGCTATTGAATGGGGTTTTACCATTGATTTTCTTCCTATTTCCGCTAATATTACATTTCGCTAAATCAGGGTCCCCTTTAAAACACTAAAATTTAAGAGCACAATTAATACCCACCCTAAGGTAAGCGATTAAGCACCACATTATTTCATCTCAGCAAACATACCAGCATATGCAGTAATTATACTGCTGCAGAAAAAGGCTTGCAACCATATGATACAGCATGGCATGCAATAGTGAATAAACTAAATTGATTAATGATTTCTTTGATTTTAGTAAAAATAAAGTATTAAGATTCAGTTGTAGCAGGAGCAGTTTCAGGAGGATTTGAACCACCATCTTCCTCTAGTTTGATAGACTTAGAAGGAGGCTCCTCTTCCTCTCCAAATGACTTCTTTCTGCCTCCTCTACCACCTTTCCATCCTCCTCTCCCTCCACCTCTTCCTCCTCCTCTCCCTCTCCTCCCTCCTCTTCCTCCTCCTCTACCACCTCCTAATAAGTTGGTAAGTATCATACAAGCTCCATCAATCTGTGTCACCTTTATTCGCTTTCCTATTGGCTTGGTCTTCTTTCATTTTCTCCCAGTAAGCACTCTCTTCTTCTCCTTAAAAGAAAAGACGAATAATGTCATATTCTAGTTACAATAGGCAAACCTTCCAGAACCTTTAAAGTTACGTCACTGTCACATATTTTACAAACTTCTCCAGTCGGTACATTAGCCATAGCACCATCATATGCTTTCTTTGCTCCTCCATCTTCATCAAATCTGATATAGCCCTGCATAGTGACACTGATTATATGGGATATAGGCTAGAAATATATACTTCAGTGTCTCCTTTTTGAAAGTCAACCCAAGCAACAGTTGCAAATTGTCTAAAATATTCCTAATGGTAAAAAATGATTACTATCTAGTAAAATAAAAAAATCTGAAGTCTGAAGTTTCAATTCAAAATAAGTCAGACATTAAGAATAGCAGTAATAAAAACTCTATTCAACAATCACCTTAAGTGTCTCACGAGTCGTTCCATCCCCACAGCCAGTGAAGTGAAGTATAGCTCCTTCTTGTCTGATAAAAGTAGTGCCATTGGTATCTCTATCAACATTAAAAAAGTGTGTAATTGTCTGTGCTGGCAGCAGATCATCTCTCATTCTGTCAGTACAAAGGTAGCTGTTTGATTCATTACTAAGGCGAGCTATAAAGATTACTGTAGGGTGCCTTTTTTCGAGGGCTATAGATTTTGCGGATTTTTATTTTGCAGATTTAATTTTTCGCAAATTTATGCCATCTGCCATCTTGTACCATATTAAAAGCATTGCTTCTCAATTTTGGCATATGAATCAGGTCCAGTACTGTACCAATACTACAGTACATGTACATGCCCATGGTCTCAAGCCAAATTTTACCAAAATTGAAAGGGAGAGAATTCTCTTTTTTACAATTCTTTCTGATACATACACATGTACTTATGTTGTATAGCAAATTAAAGCTGATTCCAATCAAAATTGAGTTTTTCCTGCATTTTCAAAGTTATTCCAAAATCGGGCCAAAGACCCTGTACTATAGTACAGGGTTGTTTGCCAAATTTCACCAAAATTGAAAAATAGAGAATTCTTTATTTTAATCATTTTCCTGATACATATAAATGTGCTTATGTTGCATAGCAAGTTTGAGCTGATTCCAATCAAAATTGAATTTTTTATGAATTTTTAAAATTGCTCCAAAATCAGGCCAAAGACTCTGTACTATATAGTACAGGATCATTGGCCAAGTTTTGTCAAAAATGACCAGGAGAAAAGTCAACATTTTAATAATTTTTTCTGATACGCATACATGTACTTATGTTGCGTAGCAAGTTTGAGCTAATTCCAATCAAGTTTGGATTTTTTATGGGTGGGAAATATCAGAAATATGTTTACTTTGATGTTTCAGTGGCAGAACCTGAAGATGATTCTACACGAGACTGAGCCTTCTTTTCCTTCCTCTCTGCATCCTTACGTTTAAAGTAATCCTGCCTGTCAGTGTCAGATAAATAAAATAAAATCATGACAATTCAAATATTTTGCAGAGGATACTTTGTCTCCACAGTCAATAGCTCATCCTTATACTTTAGTTCTGCTTTCTTCTCCAGTACTTTACTAATGGAGTCCACTAACTTATACTCAACAAAAATTGATCCCTACATGCACCACAACATAAAACAAAGCTATGTAACATCATATAAGCACCTTAAACTGTTTGTCAAGGTCTTTCTTCATTCGTATCATTTCAGTCTAAAATATTAAATAAAATACAAATATAATTATTATATTATAAAAGGCAAACCTCTCCAAATGGGAGAAGAAAGTCTTGAATGTCATCAAGAGTTGAATCTTTTGGAAAGCCTTTCTATAATTAGAAAAATAATATAAAAATAAATGGAACCGAGTTAGAGTTTACCATATAAAGAGTGCGATTGCTCATGTCCTTCCTATCCTCAGGGGAGAGTAGGGATAGAGTTGGAACAGGATCTGATGATTTCCTCTTTACTTTAAGACCATCCTCACTTACCTATACATGCATATATGAATGTACATGATACTACATATTCATATGCACACGTATACTGTACATTGCCATAAATGGGTTTAAAATAAGGTACCAATAAGGCATGCAAATGTGCTCACGTTTGAGCATAGATCATTCTATCAAGAATGGCTATGAAACATTTTTCATTACATTTTCTGATGCATATAAGTGCTCTTCAATTTTTTTAATTGGTGCTCAAAAATTAGGCCAAAGACCATGTACTTCGAAAATGGCTAAATGAGATAGTAAAATAAAGGCAAGATCACATCAATGCATAGTTGCATATTCTTAACTATAAATTTTCCATGTGGTCACAATACCGTATAGCCGGAAATTTTGGAGGGAGTAAAATTTGGCGAATTGCTAAATTTTGGTTATTGGCGGATTTTAATTTGGCGAATTAGTGGCCACGTGCCATTGAGCATGCGTATAAAGGCTCAAAATGGTAGTTTTTATTTTGGCAAATGAAACTCTATTCGCCAAATTTGCCAAATTTTTGTCCCTCGAAATTTTTGTGCTATACGGTAATTGAAAAATGAAAGTGTGCATCTTAGATTTCTAAAAAGGCATAAAATGGCAAACACATAGGACATCTTGTGGCCATGAGTAGTGTTATTTCATAACCTGATGAACATGTATCAAATTCAACAAGACTTCAAACAGTAAATAAACATGCCTACACTAACTAGAAGATTATTCTACAAAATAAAACTAACACGATACATGCTTATATAATCATAACATCTGTCAAGCCCCATAAATGAACCCGGTTCTGCCATTACCTCTAAAAGCCCACTAGTTGATTTTCTCAGGGCACCAGCAATGAGACTGCAATCGGTACTAAGAGCCTTGAGTCGACTAAATGTCAAAAGAACACTCAACTCCACCCCTTAAAGATGTAATGTAACACAGACGTAAAAGCAAGCAAGTGACTTACATCCATCTTCATTCTCTTTGATCTTGTTTTGAAGGAACTTGTCCCGACTGAGGTTTCTGTCACCAAAATAAAACTAGAAGAAAAATAACTTGTAGTAAGGAAACCAGGTCCATTCACCTCTATCTGACGAATAATCTTCTTCTCTAAATCATCAGGCTCAGAGCTAGAGGTCGAGGCAGAAGGGACATCGTCTCCTGTACTTTCAGCCATTACCTACCACGTGGCGAGATCGATTTTTCTCTTGCTGAATCAAATTTTAAAACAAGGCGTGGTTTGTTGTTGAGCCCCACCTCTTTAAGATAAATGGCGTCCATGACCCCCTCCATGATGGCTAGATCAGCTCGTTTCTTTCACACCACTCCATCCTTTAGAGCACCCCCCATTTGGCTCTTGACTCCACTAGGAAGATTTGTAGTTGCATTCAGTGCCAGGGCAGCTAGAGCAGTATGGAAACGACTACCAGAAGCCAGGAAAGTGAAGATAAAAGCTTCACTGAAGAGACAAAGAAAGTACTTTTACGGAGCAGGAAGCCTCTGCCTGGCAGGAGGAGGTGTATACTATTTCACTCATTTGGAGTTTGTTCCTCTCACTAAGAGATATCGCTTTATGATGTACTCCAGAGATGATATGTGTCAGTTATTGAAGCAAGAAATGGGGACAGCAGGGCCTGACAGTGCTCTGAACCTTAAAGCATTAATAGGAGACCAGAAGGTACTACCTGCCGATCACCAGTACTATAATACTGTCATCCCACTCGTTAGACAGATAGTAACACACAACTCCTGGTGTGAGAGAGTCAATGATATACACTGGAAGATAACCATAGTTGATAATCCAGAGTTAGTTAATGCAGTGAGCTTACCCACTGGCGATATTGTGATATTTTCTGGAATGCTAAATGCCTGCCATAATATAGATGAAGCTAGTTTAATGCTCAGCCATGAAATGGCTCACATTATTCTTGATCACGGAGTTGAGACCTTTAGTCACTCTGGCCTAGTCTCTATGCTTAAACTAGTTTGTATTGCTGCTATATGGTTCTTCATTCCAAATGATTTAATATCATTCTTTACTCACAAACTCTTCAATGGAACAGTTACAATACTATCCAACAATCGCTACAGTCGTAAGCTTGAGATGGAAGCTGATCAGGTAGGGCTACTGCTAGCATCAAAGGCTTGCTTCAATCCTGAGAGAGCCATTAAACTTTGGAAGCACTTACCAATGTTTAATGAATCAGACACTGTTCAGGAATACTTTCAAACTCATCCATGCAACGAGAGGAGGTTCATGATACTGCAGTCACTTCTACCTCAAGCTAAGGAGCTGCACAGTTCTGGTCAGTGTGAGTCACGGATGAAGAAAGAAATGAAAGCATTTTCTGCATCCTTGGCAAAGTTAATCGGATTTTAACACAATATTTGCATGTAGTTTGTGAGTGGCATTTTTAATTCTTATTGTGCACACATGCATGTAGCACAAGTATTTACATGTACATGTAATTTTTATCTGAATTATTATTTTATTTCTTGCTGTATTCATAACAGCACCATGTTTATTTATATAACGTTTATAATCATTAGTTATTACAAAAGATGATAATGTTAAACATGTAACTTAAAATAATTAATGCATATATCCTGTAGCAAAGAAACTGCCTCCACCATCAGTGCTAAAGTGAAGGGCATTCCGCCAAATCCAATTGGTCCACCATCAAACGGTGAACGACCAGCAAAGAATGTTGAAAATATGTCAGCAGCATCAATATCTAAAAAATGAGAGGAGAGAGAATTGCATGTACATGTTGACCACACTAATCCCACCACTCTGAAATTTAAAACGCTAAATTTTTTTGTACCATGTAATAAATTAATTAATTCAATGATTTACAATGAATTTTAATCATTAATCTAATTTAAAGGGCGTGGTCTATTTTACGAACCCCTCCGCAGCGCTGATCAGCTGAGTCCGCTCCAGGGCCCTCCTCCTTAAAGATGGCGTCCATCACCTGCTCCATGCTAGTTAGATCAGCTCGTTTCTTTCATACCACTCCATCCTTTAGAGCGCCCCCCATTTGGCTCTTCACTCAAACAGGAACATTTGTAGTTGCATTCAGTGCCAGGGCAGCTAGAGAAGTATGGAAACGACTACCAGAAGCCAGGAAGGTGAAGATAAAAGCTTCACTGAAGAGACAGAGAAAATACTTTTACGGAGCTGGAAGCCTCTTCCTGGCAGGAGGAGGAGTATACTATTTCACTCATTTGGAGTTTGTTCCTCTCACTAAGAGATATCGCTTTATGATGTACTCCAGAGATGATAGGTGTCAGTTATTGAAGCAGGAAATGGGGACAGTGGGGCCTGACAATGCTCTGAACCTTAAAACATTAAATTTTATAGGAGACCATAAGGTACTACCAGCCAGCCACCAGTACTATACCAATATTGTCTTCCCACTCGTTAGGCAGATAGTAACACACAACTCCTGGTGTGAGGGGATCACTGATATAGACTGGAGGATAACCATAGTTGATAATCCAGAGTCAAAGAACATAGCGAGCTTACCCACTGGTGATATCATTATATATTCTGGAATGCTAAATGCCTGTCATAATATAGATGAAGCTAGTTTAATGCTCAGCCACGAAATGGCTCACATTATTCTTAATCATGCAGCTGAGGACTCCAGTTACTCTCATCTAGTCTCTATGCTTAAACTGGTTTGTATTGCTGCTATATGGTTCTTCATTCCAAGTGTCTTAGTATCATTCTTCACTCATGTAGTCTTCAATAAAACTAAAATATTGTCCAGCTATTACTTCAGGCGTAAGCGTGAGATAGAAGCTGATCAGGTAGGGCTACTGTTAGCATCAAAGGCTTGCTTCAATCCTGAGAGAGCCATTAAACTTTGGAAGCACTTACCTAAGTCTGATGTATCTGCACTATCTGACACTGTGAAGGAATATTTTCGGGTCCATCCATGCAATGAGAGGAGGTTCATGATACTGCAGTCACTTCTACCTCAAGCTGAGGAGCTGCACAGTTCTGGTCAGTGTGAGTCACAGATCAAGAAAGAAATGGAAGCATTTTCTGCATCCTTTGCAAAGTTAATCAAACGCAATATTATTTACACTAATAAGTTTGGGTCGCATTTTTAATTCTTACTGTGCACATATACATGTAGCACAAGTATTTACATGTACGTGTAGATTGTATCTAAGTTACTAGACATTTAGGGGCAGGCATGAACTATCGATTGTAAAATAAAATCTTTAAAAAATGATTCTAATCTAGTTCCAAAGAGAAGAAAAACATTCATCCCTCTCGTTTCAAGACCATTACTTGTATTATTTATTTCCTGTTGTCTTGTGACAAGAGTGCTTGTGATCATAATCATTTTCAGCAACACTGTGTTTATTTATATAACATTTAATACTGAATAATAATATTATTAGTTATTACAAAAGATGATAATGTTAAACATGTAACTTAAAATAATTAATGTGTATATCCTGTAGTAAAGAAATTGCCTCCACCATCAGTGCTGAAAGTGAAGGGCATTCCCCCAAATCCAAATGGTCCACCACCAAAAGGACCCCCTCCAAATGGTGAACCACCAGCAAAGAATGTTGAAAATATGTCAGCAGCATCAATATCTAAAGTGAGAGAGAATTACATGTATAGTACATGTTGATCACAGTTACCAGACTAATCACACCATTCTGAAATTATTTTAAACAATTAATGTACCATGTAATGGGACCACATGACATACATAAATGTATAAGTATTAAGTACAAAAATGGCAAAGTTATTAATTTTTACATTTCTGAATGTACATCATGCTTTTATGCTGAATTATTATTATTGCTATATATTAAAACCACAGAAGCAATCAAGTACTTACCAATTCCTCCTTCAAGATCTTCTCCAGTGTCATAGCGTCTTCTCTTCTTAGGGTCAGTCAGAACGGAATAAGCTTCACTCACATCTTTAAACTTCACCTCTTCTGCTTCACGTACCTCTGGTTCGGCAGTCGAATGACGATCTAAAATAAAAAAATAAACATGAAAACCAATGTTAACAGCTAATAAAAAAAATAATTTGTAAAACATCAAATTTATTTTCACCTGGATGATGTAATAAAGCTTTTTTCCTGTAAGCCTTCTTAATCTGGTCATCATTGGCATCCTTTTCTATGCCTAGTATTTTATAGTAGTCCTTCCTTTGGCTCATTTTCAGTTTTTTCTCGGCATCTTTAAGAGCTCTCTTGTTTTCACTAGTACTGTCCAACTCCATTACTTTCTTCCAGTCACGCACACACTCTTCATGCTGTTCATTTAATTGATATCTACAGGAGAGAAGAGACTGCAGTGAAATGCATATTTCAAATGTTACTGCTGATTACTAAATTACCCAGCAGATATATACATGTATGTACTGTATGTGTACATATTCCAAATGTTACTATTACTCTACCAGTGAAAATTACCCAACAGCTGCTACACACACAGCAGCCAGTATGCATACTTTAATCAGTGCTATAGCTATAAAGCTACATGCATGTACAGTATAGTGGACTACATGGAAGCTAGCCAATAGTTAAAAACAATAAAATGTATTTATGTCCTCTTGATAACATTCTTACATTACATGCATTCATATGTACAGTTGATAGTTGTGGTCATAGCATTATGTAATACAAAACCAAATTGTGTGTCTTTGATCAATTATATTTCCTTCTCCCTCCATCCCCCTCTATCTTACGATGTAGCTCGTCTTTGATAAGCTTTCACATATTTCTCATCAAGTTCAATGGCTTGCGTACAATCGTCAATACTCTCCGTTAGTTTTCCCAGTTTTTGTGAGGCCAGTGCTCTATTGCAGTAGAGTTTAGCATTGGTTGCTCTGTTGTAGGGATCGATCTGAAGTGCGTCACTATAAATTTCGTATGCTTCTTGATAGGAGCCACTTTTGTATGCCGTGTTCCCTTCCTCTTTCTTCTTTAATAACTCTTTAGAACGCTGAGAGAGAGAGGGGGGGGGGGGGGGAAAAAAAATTGAGTAAAAATGATGATAGTAAAAAATAATTTTTTAATACACAGCTCACCTTTCTAAACTGAAATGCTTTTTTATGATCAGGATCACGTTTTAGTACATTCATTAAAAACTGATGAGCTTTGTCTGTTTGGTCCTATCACATATTAATAAATAAAAAATAGGACAGACCATTAATACTTGATAGTATAGGGCGAGGGCTTTGACATAAATAGCATCAGAATTGTTATTGTTTTCTCTGAGTAAGTCACTATTATTTTAGAAAAAAAATACATTTTTGTAAAAATTATAATTGGGCAACAAATTGTGGCTTTGAATCAGTGACATTTATTATTTTTCAAAACATACTTGCATAGGACAACAGCATCGTCTAAACGTCCATGTTTAGCCAATGCTTCAGCTTTCAGTGTTCTAAATCTTGTACAGGAAGGAGATACAGCTAGACACTGGTCCAAACTGAAAATACACTAAAAGAGAAAGAGACAGAGAGCAAAAGACAGAAGAAAAAAGATTATACAAAATAAAATTATTATTATGAACAAAACTTACTTCTCTGAATTTGCTTTTGTCAAATTCTTGTTCTGCTCTTGTAAGATAATGTATCATGCTTTCACACTGTTTCTTCTACACACACACAAACTTTAAATACACAATTACCAACAATCCTCCTACAATACCTCTTCCTTAGCTTGCGAGTTCCCAGGCTGGATCATTAATACTTTATCGTAATAATCAGTAGAGAGTGAGGGGTTACCCATCATCATGTGACATTTGGCTGCTCTAAGGTAGCCCTTTACAAAGTTTGGGTCTAGTTTGATGGCCATTTGAGCATCCTCCAGGGCCCTCTGGTGATGACCGAGCATCATGTAAGCTGCTGATCTGTTGCCATAGTAACTAGCCTGATCTGGAGCATGATCTAGAGATAATTAATTTTTTTTAATTAAAAGTTTGTTAATTGCTCTAAACAATTGTTATTATTTCATCCTTTGGGACTAATTAATATCAAAGCATAAGTAATCTCTGAAGTAAATCCTGGTTATACATGTTAATTAAAGGGACACATTCATGGAAGCATGCCATCTTGAAAAAGTGGCCCAGTTTTCAAGATGACATCATTAATAACTATTCATAATGTGTAGCTGTGCCCTTAAACATTAAGGCAAAATGGCTGCTTGAGTGGCTACTTGTAAATGTTCCTGGTGTTTCTTCACTAAAAAAAAGAATGTCTTGGGGAGGTAAAAGAGCTAATGTTGGTAGAAAGAAGTGTTCTACAGATGCCTACTCAGTTCTATGCCTGATTGCTCTGTCTCTACTCTCTACACATGTCTAAACACGTGTTATAACTATTAATTAATAATCTGCTACATGCCCAATTTTATGTTTCCTCCCTCTACAGTGACGTGTGCATCTATTTCCGTGAACGTTTCCCTTTTAATTATACATGTCAATATAGTACTGACCCCATAGCTAAGGAGTGGTTTGGCTAATGACTATGATAATTATTTTAATTTTGTACTACCCACATTTTCAGCAACCACGCCCTCTTATAAATCTTAGAGTAAGGGTTTCATTTCCCTGATTTCAGTGCCAAATACAATTATCATTAAATCATGTGTATACATGTGTACTGTAGTTTTACCGATTGCCGTTGAATAGAGTCTCACTGCTAACTGGTAGTTTTTGGCCTTGTACGCTTCATTTCCATCAGTCTTGAGCTTTTCAGCTGACCTAAAATGATACAAAATATGACTTTCATAAAGAGAGGGAGGATTCGTTACTCAGGGTTTCTCTCGGGTTCACATTCCATGGAATCGCCGGCGTCTCCATTCATTTCACCTACCCTAAAGACAAGAACAGTAACCTAATGAGTAAATAGTGACGGATACATTACTGAGGGTCACTTGAAAAGTCACTGTCAACATCCATGTTTGATTAGTTAGGGTAGGGAAGAGTGAATAACAGAATGAGGGAAGAGAGAAGTTTCTAGATCTAGAAGCTTCTAATTAATGCACATTATTCTATAAACCACACCCCTTACCACGCCCACAAGTAGACCATACCTACTACTCCACCCACCAATGGCTGAAAGCAATGGGGAACTCCGAAAGTCGTTTTCGTGAGGCTGTGAGACAAGGCGATCACGCCAAAGCTGAATTCATCTTCTACAACAAGAAGTTACTGAGAGATAATGTGGACCCCAAGCAGCCCTGCTACCAGGACGGCGGTAGTATCCTCCATTACGCAGCAAGACACGCGATGATGCCTCTCTACGGCCACTTTCTTGAGAACGGTCAAGTGAGCCCACTCATACAGGACAACTATGGACAGAACTGCCTGCATCTTGTATGCAGTAAAGGGTCTGATCCTGATCTAAGATACGACATGCTTGATCTGACACTTAAAAATACATTTGTATCAGGTGCTCTTACAAGATCTGTATCAACAGCTGATCATGTAAGTGATTCTGATCTATTTAAGATAATGCATACACGGATACATTAGGGATGCAATGAGTTGGTACATGCATGTGTTATTGATTAGTTCACATAAAAGGATAAAGTTTTTGAAACTGTTTGGCCTGTATGTGGTACACCTATTCACACAATGTATAAATAAAGTTTAATGTTTTAGTCCACCATGATTGGACAAAATTTTATTCACCGATAGATAATTATTATACATTTTGTGTCTCTATCGGATTTCTTTGTGAAATAATCATTGTCAAATTTAAATATGACGTAATGAATTTCAAAATTCCTTGAAATAACTTTGTTTTTCCTTTTATAGTTTCGTATATAAAAATTTTACTTTCAAATTCTACTATAGTCTTGTTACTATTTTTCTAACCATTTGTAGTATGGTAACACTCCATTACACTATGCCTGTCAGTTTGGATTACAGAAATGCGTACAGGTATATTATATATAGATTTGATAATATTTACTGTATGTTTTAAAAGTAAGGGAATTGCCCCATTCTATCATCTCTTATTACTAAAGTACACAACGTAAAGCATATTCAGTTCCCTTTTATTCTTTGTTAGTTGCTTGTTGATTCTAAAGCTGATCTCTCTGTTACTAATACTGATGGGAAGACTCCTGTTGATTTAGCCATTGATCACAATCATGAAGCTATAGCTAAGAAATTAGAGACACGCATTGTATTTGCTGTAAGTATTTAACACTAATCCAATGGCACACGAATGTGGAGAGTAGCAGCCAATTATGATTTGTAGTGGGAGGTATACACCTCACTGAGCTTAATTATACAGGCTCATATCAGTCATATGTATGCGTACAATGATACTACAATCAAGAGTATACATACATGTATGTTATTTGAGATTGTATATTTACTATTGACAAGCATGGGCCAAAGTAAAGGGTCGTGGGCCAAATTTTGCCAAAAATGACTAGTAGAGAATTCTCCATTTTGATAATTTTTTGATACACATAAATGCATGGTAGATTATTTTACTGTTATAATTAGTACTTCTTTGTCCTTTTTCTCTTACCACCTGTTTTCCTATTCATTTCCATCTTCATCTCAGCCCATACAGGAGGAAGAGAGTGGTCTAGTCATAGAAATGGATCCAGCTCCAGTGGCATCGCCCCAGGACCACGTTGCCATGAAGAATCAAGAGCTAATGAGTTTAAAAGATGAACTGTTGATACAGACATCAGAGTTATTAGGAGTGAGTGTCACTGTGTATACAATTATATACTTTCAAACGAGTAATTTGTGTATTTGCAGGTTTCACTGTTTATAGCAGAGGCATTGCTAAGAAATTATGGTATATAATAATAATAATAATAATAATAATAATAATAATAATAATAATAATAACGGTTATATTGTGCAGTAAAAATAATGGTTGTGTTAGTTTTTATATGCCTATCCTCTTTACTTTTGTTTGTTTCCAATAATGCTCTTCTTCCTCTCTCTGTTTCTCATTCCTCCTGCTCTCTATTTAATGCACAGAGTGGTCTAAAGAAAGGCTCCTTAATGCATGGATAGCTGACCCTAGTGATGTCTGTGAAAAGGCTGGAGTTGATCTACCTGAAGTACTAACACTAGACAATATAGATGACACCATACCAAGTAAAGGAGGAGGAGGAGGAGCTAGTAATGAGATAGACTGTAGTATATGTTACTGTCCTATCGACGAACTAGTGGAGATTCAATGCGAACACTCATTTTGCAAGGATTGCTGGCAACAGTTAGTTTGTTATGATGACATTGATTCGCTAACGAGTGACTGGTTTGTTTTCTTCTTACAAGGTACTTGCATGACAAGATTAAAAGTGGCCAAGTCCATAAAATAAGCTGTCCAGAGTATGGCTGCTATAAACTAATACCAATAGTAAGAAGAGGAGAATGAATGAAATGGAGACTGAGATCAATTCTCCTTTCTTCTTATTATTTATGTTCTCTTTCATTTTTCTCTTACCCTAATCTCCAGCATATAATAGAGAAATTGGTATCAAGGGACATGGCTTCAAAATACCTCTTGTTCGACATAAAGGCATTCGTTGATAGCAACCCTAACATAAGATGGTGTCCTCATCCTGGCTGCAGTGAAGCTATAAAGAAACCAACTCCATTTATTGAAGAACTCGTACTTGAAGACACCAGAGAAGGTGACAAGCCTAGTGGAATGATGGTCCACTGTAGCTTTGATCATTATTTCTGTTGGTGAGTGAATTTTATGAGCTGTATGTGAATAAGTGTTTGTGTGTGTGTAGGGATTGTGGTAAAGATGCTCACGAGATTTGCACTTGTGAAATGTGGAAGGGATGGTTACTGAGAATTGATCAAATGCAAGTTAAAATAGGTACAAAATAACAAAATATTCTGTGTAGAATAGGCATAGCCACCAGTCCATATCAATGCATGCAAGAGTTACAGCTCTTGCAATTGTAGCATAGTGTGATGATATATACTATCAGTTGTGTATTCATGTACTTGCATTAGGATCAATGACGTGTGAGGATTTTGGTGAAGCTGCTAGCAGTCGATGGATATCATCAAACAGCAAGCCTTGTCCACGCTGCAAGTGAGTTCCTTCATAACCTATTCAATAAAGCAAGGGGCTTTAATATGTATCAGAAAATGTGATAAAAATTTGGGATGATTTCAGAGCCAATTTTAGATAAAACCATGTGCTATAGCCTTGGGTGTTTTCAAAAATTGGCCTGTTTTTTTTCAAATGGCCATAGCTCAAAAAATTTGTATTGGAATCAGCTCAAACTTTCTACATAGCATAAGTACATCAATATGCATCAGAAAATGCAATAAAAATTTGGGGTGATTTCGGAGCCAATTTTTAGATAAAACCATGGGCTGTAACCTTGGGTATTTTTCAGAATTTTAGCGTTTTATTAAAATGGCAGTAACTCCAAAAATTGAAGTCGAAATCAGCTTAAACTTTCTACACAGTATAAGTACATCAATATGCATCAGAAAATGCAATAAAAATTTGGGGTGATTTTGGAGCCAATTTTTAGATAAAACCATGGGCTGTAACGTTGGGTATTTTTCAGAATTTTAGCGTTTTATTAAAATGGCAGTAACTCCAAAAATTGAAGTCGGAATCAGCTTAAACTTTCTACACAGTATAAGTACATCAATATGTATCAGAAATTGTAATAAAAATTTGGGGTGATTTCGGAGCCATTTTTTGGAAAAAACCATGGGCTATATAATAGCCTTGGGTATTTTTCAAAAATTGGTTTGATTTTTAAAATGGCCATAGCTCGAAAATTTTTTATCGGAATCGGCTCAAACTTTTTATATAACATAAGTACATCAATATGTATCAGAAAATGTAATAAAAATTTGGGATGATTTTGGAGCCATTTTTTGGAAAAAACCATGGGCTAATAGCCTTGGGTATTTTTCAAAAATTGGCTTGATTTTTAAAATGGCCATAACTTGAAAATTTTTTATTGGAATTGGCTCAAACTTTCTATATAGCATAAGTACATCAATATGTATCAGAAATTGCAATAAAAATTTGGGGTGATTTCGGAGCCATTTTTTGGGAAAAACCATATGGGTATAGCTTTGGATATTTTTCAAAAATTGGCACATTTTTTCAAATGCTCATAACTCAAAAAAAATTGTTGGAATCAGTTCAAACTGTTACATAACAATAATCATGTATTAGAAAATATAATAAAATTGAGGTTGATTTTGGACCCAATTTCTAAATTGGCATACATGTACATGTAATTTTTAAAGTTCTCATAGTTATACTTTTAATGTTTTATGTTGTTTCTTTTTCCAGAACTCCTATTGAGAAGATTGATGGCTGTAACCATATGAAGTGTGGTCATGTATGTAACTTGATTCTCTCACCTCCTTCTCTTCTACTTTATCATTTCTTCTATTCTTTTCTCTTTTAGTGTAAACATGATTTTTGTTGGATGTGTCTTGATCTTTGGAGCAAGCACAATTCATCCACTGGTGGTTACTATGACTGCAATCGTTTAAAGATAATTGAGAAAGCAAATGACATGCTTCGTGACAGAGAAAAAGAGGCAAGCTGTTGCACTAGTAGTGAAACTATAATAATGAGACTATGTTTGTTACCTGCAGTCAGATGATTATGAAAAGATAGCACATTTTCAACACTATCACAGTCGCTATAAGAACCACTGTCACAGCTTAAAGGTAAATGGAGAGAGAGAGAGAGAGAGAGAAAGAGAGAGAGAGAGAGAGAGAGAGAGAGAGAGAGAGAGAGGGAGGGAGGGAGAGAGAGAGGGAGGGAGGGAGGGAGGGAGGGAGGGAGGGAGGGAAGAGAGGAAGAAATGTAGTACCTAGAATATTATTTACCTACATATATAAAGTGTCTGCTAATTCATTGGTTTAAACTCTCTCAATAGTTAGAGCTAGGCTACTTGCAAGCTGCTGGTGAGAAGATGCAGGCATTGGAAGCTGCTGCCCTAGAGGAAGGCTCCAGTGTTGGTGATGTGTCATTTGTTAAAGATGCAGTGAGGACTCTAGTGGAGGCGAGACAGACACTAGCAGCTTCTTATGGATATGGTTCCACACTCCTGGTTGTACCTGTTAGGGACAAATTTGAGGGAAAACAAGTAATGCAACAATAAGTGTGGGCTAGAATAGCATAATCCTCATTATTGTTGTTTTAGTGAACTGAAAATGAAGTTATTATAATTTGAGCATTTTCAATAATGAATAACGTATTAAATATTCTCTGTAGAATATTTGATATTTCAATTATGATATACATTTAATTGTTTAGAAAATTAGATCCAACCTAATAAAATTTGCAAATAATAGTGAAGTAAAATACAAAAAACTAGTCACAATTAACTGGAATTAGTAATAAACTATATCTCTCTTATTCTCAGGGTATGTTTGAGGAGCAGGTTGAGAGTCTAGCTGAAGTTGTGGCCAGACCTCACTTGAGGAAACCTCGCTCTGAAATAATCCGACTAACAAGGACAGTCTATAACAACAGACTTGCTTTTATAAGATTCGTTCAGAAGGATTTACATGCCCCGTAAGCATTACAATATTACCTCTACTATTGTACTAAAATTAGACGTAGTAGATGTACCGTATAGCACAACATTTTTGAGGGCTGTAAATTTCGTGGATTTTGCGATTCTTTAAAAATTCACGAAAATTAATTCCACGAAAATCAAATTTTTACGGTACAAAGATGGCAGAAGGCATAAATTTGAGAAATTTAAATTCGTGAAATAGATTTTCAGGCAAATTGACGAAATTTATGGCCCTCAGAAATTTTGCGCTATACGGTAGTACAGTTCCTGAATTTTCCTAATTTATGTCTTTCTTTATATACTAGACCTCCAAAGGCTCCGATATTACCTTCCACTTCAGAGTACATGAGGGAGAGGAGGGAAATGGTTCAGAGAGCGAGAGAAAGAATAAGAAGAGACAGACAAAGAGAGAGGGAAGAGATAGAGGAAGAGTCGAGGAGGGAGGCAGAGGAAAAGAGACAGTTGGACGAAGCAATAAGAATATCACAGCAGGACTATGTAACACGGAGGAAGGAAGACAAGCTAATACAAGAAGCACTGCTAGCTTCAAAGCAAGAGTTTGATGAAGAATCCCAACTAAAATCAGGTCAGTATTATGTATAATGTACGCTGCAAGCCTGCAACCACTAGTGTTAGTGTTTGAAAATTATAATTAATACTGTAATTCTTCTAAATACCTTAGGGCACCTTTTTCTGAGGGCTATAAATTTTGTGGATTTTTATTTTGCGGATTTAATTTTTGTGAATTTATGCCATCTTGTACTGTATTAATTTAATTTTCACAGGAGTAATTTTTGCGAATCTTTTTAAAAAATTGCAAAATCCACGAAATTTATAGCCCTCGAAAAAAGACGCCCTACGGTATTAGGCACTCTAAATGTAAAAATATATATTTATTTCAAATTTTCTACCAAAATTTCTAAATTTGTTTTATAATAATTGTTGCATGTGGTTCTAATTTCATCATTTGCCTCTATTAGTTGCACTGTATACTATGAATAGCCAGGCTACCAGTTAGTGTGATTGGCCTTAATGACACCATAGCAGTGTGCAATCCCTCAAAATTTGACAATTTTAAAGCTTCGTAGGAATTATAGCTGCTCACCTCTAAAATTTTTTTATTATTTAACAAAACTTGAAGTGAAAATTTTTTAGAGGAATTATTGATCTACATACATGTATTATTTTAATTTTTTACATAATAATAATTTTGCAGATACCGAGTTTGCTATAATGCTAAGTATGAAAAGTGGAGAGAGTAACAGCAGTGCTGGGAAGTTTCAAGTCGGTACTAATGATTTATCAATTGTTGAGTCAGGAGGTGATAGGTTTCCCTTTTCTTCAGCAAGTCAGAACAGTCAACCCAGTGATCCTTTTACCATTAACAACTTAGGTACAGTTACAGTATTGTATTTTGCATGAATATTATATAGTCATGATTTTGAATCAAATTAACAAGCGTAACAGTGTAAAAATATTCCTATAATTGATTTCACCACCTTACATGCATAGCTACATGTAAGTACTTATTAAAACTTCAGAGATTCTCTCTACCCTCTAATGCTTCTAGAGAAGTGTTTAGACAGTATATCTGTGTTCTCTTGCTGTTAGAAAGCTCATAATTTTGTCCCGTGTGTAAGCCACCATTTTGTTTACCGTGGCCGCACCCACTACGTAAAACAAGCGTGGGCGGGTGGTTGCTAAGGCTTGTTATTTCTCCAATACAACGTGTATAGAAGAAATGTAAGTGTGGACATGCAATCAACTATATATATCGCACGTGGGTGAAATCAATTATAGGAACGACCTGGGGGCTTTGCCCCCAAGTCGTAAAAAATTTGATTTTGATTGGAACCAGCTCAAACACAACATACATGTAAGTACTGTACGTGTATGCATCAAAAAGTGTATAATAAAAATGAAAGAATTCTCTCATAAACTTTTTAAACAAAATGCCCTGTACTATATAGTACAGGAACTTTGTCCAGATTTTAGAGAATTTTTAAAATTCATTAAAAATCCAGTTTTGATTTAATTCAACTACTCAACATGTAAAATGCATTAATTTTAAATGCTTTTTATTCTCACGATAGATCTAGAGCATTGGCGTCAAACCATACTGCATGAGAGTCAATGGGCTCCGAGTTCATCCTCTTCAAGTGAAGCTCCCACTCCATCAAGAGATCACCTAGCAGTATCACCTAACAGAACCAATAATGGAAGCAATAGTATCAATACTCAGACTTTTTTTAACGAAGAAGAAATGGACGAAGAATTAGCTACAGCAATAGCTCTATCACTATCAACTGTAGGAGAAATTAATAATTGAAAGAATGGCTGGCCTGAATAATAATTATTATTGCTCCTTTGGTTTCAATGATTATGGTGACTTGTTTTATAGTTGTTGTATTGATTATTATTATTATTATTATTATTAATTTTTTTAAAAAGCATTAAAATAATTATTATTGTTTGTGTGTGTTTTGTGCAATAATAATAATAAATTAATAATAATAATAACTGTTTCTAATCATTTTGTTTATTTCTCTGATATCTGAATGTTTTCTAATACTGCACGAAATGACTCCACTGATGCCTGTGATAAGAATAATGAATAATAACTAAACATTGAAGGGACAACTACACTATGCACTACATACAACCCTGAACCTTCCTCTTGGAAGAGACGCAAGCCTTGGAGGGAAGCCTACCTTTCCACTGGGATTATTTCCAACTGCCTTCTCCCAAAGTGTCTTGAATGCATCATCACTAATATTAATACCAGCAGCTGTGAATACCTGCCTCACCTGCCATGAAGAAGAAGAGGGAGAGAAGTAAAGGGAGCATGTAAATTTACATGTACATGTACTAAATGTACTTGCTAAAACTTACCTCTTCTGGGGGACGTGGTGTAAAAAAATCTTTCTCATATAGTCCGTGATTAGAATATATTGAAGGATAAATTAGACCATAGGCATCTGACTCATCACCGTAATTCTAAAACAATAACAAAAGCAATCCAGCAATAAAGATACATGTACTGTACATGTGATACAAAATCTTACTGTTTGATCACTGACTCTCTTTATCTTGGGAGCTGGTCTATCACTACGAATGGCTGGCACACCAAATGTTCTATACTCTGTATGATTGTACAGTGTACAAATGTAATAAGAAATTATTATTATCAAGCATGTACATGTACATGTAATACTTACCGTTGGTGTGAATAGATCCTACTGTTGCTTTTATTTGCCCTGATGAAGTACGATAAGCATCAGAAAGGACAACTTTTGATGGTTCTAGTCCTACCGGCTCTTTCATTCTCTCAGAGACTCTGTTGCTGATGTCAACTGAGACTGGCTCCATCCAGTTCATAAGACCCACCAGGTCACTGCAGACCACACCTCCTCCCTCAGGGTCTGAAGACCAAGCAATCAATAGCTCTGCCATGTCTTGGTCAAGTGGAACTTGAAACTGATAAAGAATTTCTTTAACATCACTAGGGTCTGCCTTTCCATTAGATCCCTATGTGTTATATAATGTTATAATATTCTAACAAGACTACGGAAGTTTTTGTATGTACATGTACATGTAGATTGCAGGTAGGGGGTTATTCAGAGTTTCCTACAAAGCATGCTAATTGAGCACTTCATGAGTTAACAAAAACATTCCACCTTAAAAAATTCATTAAAAATCCAATTTTGATCAATTTTGGTGAAATTCGGTTTTGACCAGATTTTTGAGCAACTTTATAAATTCACAAAAATTTCAATTTTGATCAAAATAAGCTCAAACTTTCTAAGTACATGTACATTATGCATCAGAAGAGATTATGGGTATTTTGTCAAAAATTGCCTCATTTTTATAATGTCAAGTTTTGGAGTAAATTCCAAAATTTACTGATAAGAAGCTGGGATCATTACCTTTTGATTTAATCCATCCAACAGTTCACCAAATTTAGAGAAAGTGTTTTTCTTCAAGTGCTGTCTTATAGTCACTAATAGTCCAGGATGCCATGATGGACACTCTAGGAAGGCAGAGGGTCCACTCATCTGCACCAGATCACCAGCAGCTAAACACAAAGCACAAATAATGTTTATTCTCAATGAGTCCATTCAGTACTTACAATAGTCATCTGGGATGACAGTGACACCAAATGTGTGGTCTCTATTAATGTGCACATATAGTGTTTCCTCAATCCTACAAGAAAGAGTTTACAAAATCCTCATAGTTCAAAATTGCAATCAGAAATATCTCAAACTTTTGAATAGACGAATACATGTACTATATGAAGCACTATGGTGCAATGGACTCGCCTGCTGGAATTCACCTGAGTGATATGTATTACTTGTACTGCGATATTTTAAGCAATTTGAAAAAAAATTATTATTATTGACTGCAGAGTTATAATGATAATTAAAATAAGCTATGGGTGTGGTCAACAACTAACTAATCATGGCACATGGGTAGGAGAAAGAAGAAAAGCTGAAATTTATTTTAGCATCTGAAGCTCTATTCCAAGAAAGAGTTGGCACAGAAAAATTTTCTAGTTATTTAAAAGAGACCGAGAGAGTTAAGTTGCTCCTGCTTTCTCCAGTGCCGCCTGAAAAATTCTCAAAGAGGCTAAATCACAAACTTTGAGCAACTGTAACTCACAAACAACGAAGTTAGGACAAAATCGTTCTTTTTCTTTTTCGTTAGATGGGATTTTCTACCTCTGAAGCAAATCTCGGCCCTGTAGAGTGAAACACGAGCTCTCACCTGGAGAGAGGTCCCCTGGTTTAGCAGTTCACAGCTTTTGGTGCCACGGGATGCTACAAGAGCATAACTAGATGAAAGAAAGCAACTTTATCTGTTGCTAGAAGAAGAAATAGAGCTCTAGACTGCTCAGACAAAAAGATAATTTTTTTACAAATCAATTAAACTGTGTGGACAGAATGACAGAATGACAACCCAACTGCTTAGTACCCGCCTACGCAAGCGTGGCGAGTCCAATAAACCATGGTTTTGAGGTGTGTATCAGTAATGTAAGACCTGAGCCCCGAGATGTCTTACATTACTGATACTCACCGAGGAACCATGGTTCATATAATATGTGCTATATTTACTGTAAGATCTATGGGATCTACAAGGGATGGCCTAATACTTACGGGTCATGAACTTTTCCAATTTGTGGTCTGTTGCGTTCTCTGAAGTCATCAAGCTTCTTCATGGTAACATTTCCTTGACTATTAAAAAGGACATTAATGATAAAAAATCTTAAGACTTACTTTTTGCACCATTTTAAAGCAGTCCTAACACCAGATCCACTGTTATCGTGAGGAGTTGGTACTCCATATAAACTACCACGAGTGAATCGGGACCAGTCATAATTCCTATCAATCTAAGAGAGACAAGAAACAGAAAAATGACATATACATGTACAAGAGAAATACCTTCTACAAGTTTTAAAACTAAAATGATATAAATTTCAAGCCATTATCATTATTAAAAATGTCAAAATTACTAAATGCAAAGAATATAGACTTGTCATTAGTCTTGTACATACATGTACATGTAAACGTAGTTTAAATTATTATCATTTTTTAAAGATTAATTTCCTTACCACTTCACCAACTTCATAGTCTCCATGACTTCTCTTGTAGAGTGTTGCTGCTAGTTCTTCCTCAGCAGGACTGAGGGCTTCTGATGGGCTGACTAATTCACCCGCCGAAATATCTACACACAGTAAATTTAAAAATTAAAATACTATAAAACTAATACTGACCCTTTTTATTAACTATTCCAAATCTCTTATCAAGAGGATCCAGTCCCAGGGGCAAGCCGTGAGACTGATCGTGAGAACTTCCAAGAGGAGCTCTTCTCTTACTAAAATAAAGCGAGTCCTTGAGATCTTGAAGGCGCTTCTGAAAGGCACTCTGGACTGGAGGATTGACAAGAGCCCCAGCCTTAAAGTAAGATGTAAAAGCATTGGGTTTAACTTTATACTATACCTGGAGTGAGGCTTTGCTGGCGACACCCATTGTGTTGCTTGATCTGTCAGGATCTTTAACAAATGCATAGCAGAGTCTCTTCTCTCCTGGCTCAGGATATGTTTGGTGCCGAAACTTTTTAACAGAGTCTGCAGTACGTGGCTATGTTGTAGATACACGTGTAAATGTCACATACAGTAACCTTTATGAGTCATTATCTTAATTACTCACCAGTTCAGTAAGAGTCTGCATGCATTCTTTTGTTCCATGACCACGAGGGATTAATTTCCCAGCCTAAGAGACAAGAGAATGATTGTTCAGTTGCTAATATACTCTTGTGTTCTTACTGGTGGCATATCACTGATATCAGTCGCCATTCTTGATTTGTTACTAGTTGCTATGGTAACAAAATACTTTTGTATATTGTCCGTAAATTTCAACCACGTGATTAAGCGTGAGATGGCTTTGTTCATGCTTTGTTTGGCCATAGATGGCTTGATGGTCTCTTATTAATGGTAATAGACCTATTTACTAATTAATTCTTAGCTATGTGCTCTTTTTCTAAATTAAGGCATCATAAAAACTAAAAATCACATCATGTTCTAGAAAGATTCAAACTAGATCTAACATAACAAAATAAAGCTAGTCCAAACATAAACTACTAAGCACACACAGTTCATTAGCTTCTGCTTTCATTTTTCACTTTGAGCAAACAACACAAGCCATATCTTTTGCTTGAACAAAAGGAGGACAAGAGAGGCCATAGCAGGTACTTCGAACATGATGGAACGATGCTTCAGGGTCTGGGTTTGATGTACCTGGCACCTTCTCCCTATTGAAATCAACACACTCAAAGACAACATTATTAGCATGAGTGTAATGCTCAGCTACCAGGTAACCATTGTATTCCCTTGTCCATGATTTAGGACACGTTATTTTTGCTGGTATCATGATTGTTGCTGATTTATTAACAGCAAGACACATTGCACAAGGTGCAGTGGAATCAATGAAGGATGGATAGTGACGAGAGTGATACTCAGCTCCATAAAGGAATGCTTGATAGCTTGATGTTCCTGTACCAATAGGCCAATACTCTGGTGTCTTAGGTAGGCAAAGGTAGTTGGCTCCACCACCAGATTCTGACCACTTGCTTCCAGCAGCAACTCCTTCATAGACAAGGGTAGCACCAGTCCTATCAGTAGGACATACGGTACGACCCCATCGAATGTATGTAGCTCCTTTATCTTCATACATACAAACAGAATTAACATAAGTGAATAATAAAGGGATGATTTTACTAGCTTACCAGCAGTTGCTGTATTTATTTCAAAGCAAGATATTAAAGCTAAAAAGATGAAGGAGTTTGCAATAATCATTGACATCATTCTTCTTGGATTAAATCTAACAGTTTTACCTGGCTTATTCTGCTGCAATGAAAGTGCTTTTATACAAGAGCAATGCATGTCATCATTATATTGCTATATGCCACCTATATTTAACAAGCTGCTATACGACTAATTATGTGCTATAAAAATAGAGCACCTGATAATGTTAGCTTAGTCTTGTGTAACGTTAGCTATGCTACTTTTGCTTAACACTCAAAAGCTGTTGACAGTCCCAGCAGTAATGAGTCTAAAGGTAAACAAACTGATCACATTACTTTTATAGTCAAGAGCATAAACATGCTTCCAACAAAATAAACTCGTAAAATAAAGTTATCTATGTACAAAACTCATCAATAATTAGATATATATTATTCCAAAAAGGAAATGCCAAAAGATTTAGACAACATTCAAGCATACACTTGCTTTTTATACACAGTGCATTCAATGATGATAATTGTTAAAAACATATTAGTCTTAATTGTAAATTATAATAATAGGATCAAACAATCATAATGATTTAAACAATTAAAACATCTTGTGTGAAGGCTCCTGCTACTCGAGTCTCATCTTTAGTTAGAAAACAGAACATTCTCTGAGGAGCAGGGCTGGACAGTAAGGATGGCTGAGGAGACACAGTTCTTAAGATAAACTCTCGAGCAGTTGCTTTTGGCAGAGCAGCCCCAGTGAACTACAAGAATAAATAATAATATTTTGAGCAAATTTTTGATAGCTAATGCAATGGAAAAATTAGTTAAGTACTCCACAAAATAAAATCAAGCAAATGTGATTTAAAAGATTATGCAGTTGCTTTTACCTTAGTTTGATGCTGACGTGAATGACGAGATGGTGACACTTCATCCAAACTCTACATAAATTAAAATTTAAAATGTACATCACACAGTCATGCACAAGCAAAATAACAATAACAACAACAACAACAACATACTTGAAATGCTATTTGAGTCTTAAGCAGTCCTTGGAATGCTAATCCGGTTACACTGGTTACAGGATCTTGTAAAACCAGTTCAGGCTCTTCCACTAGTATTTGTATACTGGCCATTAGTTCCTTGTCCTCTGCTGCTGTTCTCTTAACAGAGTCAGTGTTAATATCCAGTCCTTGCTTCAGCTTTGCATGAAGAGATGCTGCAGTTGCAATGTCATGTTCTGTTTTCTCCAATAAACCAAAACATTCCTAGAAACCATTTCAATAACTTAAACCTGATACTCAACACGTAATAACAAACACTTTTAATTTCTTTACCTGATAAATGGGGAGTGAGTCTAAAGATATCCACTGTATTGTCTTAGTTATATTGATAGCATCATTGATGTAACCCCAAGCACTGGGTAATGCCATCTCCTCTACAATGAAATGAAAAACAGCATATTACTAGGGTTTCCCTTGACAAAAATTACAACAAAAAATCACAAGGAGAGAATTCTCCATTTTTACAATTTTTGCTGATACATGTACATGTTTTATGTTTGTATCAACTTTGAGCCGATTCCAAATTTCCAATCAAATTTGGATTTTTTTATGAATTTTTGAAGTTAAAGCAATGTAGCACTAGACGTGATGTAGTACCGTATAGGAGGTTTCTTTCATTGAGCAAAACTTTTGTTTTTTGGGGGGGCAAAATCCAACTTTGTGGGCTTTATTTTCATTTTTGAAATTTGAAGAATGAAAAAAAAAAAGTTTGGCCCAGCAAAAGAAACCCACTATACAGTAATTAATTTGTGTATCAAACTTTAGAGCTAACCAACTACATGTACTATTATTTTATTCATTACCTAGCTCTTTTTTAAGATGCAGGACTGCTGAATGAACCAAGCAAGGTAACACCATTAGCACTAATTCTGCTGGTTTCAAAGCCGACAGCCAGTGCAAGACTTTCTCTGCTTCTTTTGTATCATCAAACAGTCTCTTCTGCTTGTAAGCTGGTATTGGACTGGCATTGTCCCATGTTTCCACCCACATATTACCAGCCTGTCTCATTCTTATACTAAGACGACCCTATAAGTATTAAGAAGTATTACGCTTTACCATACAGGCTCCCATATGTACATGTACATGTCATGTACATGTATAACGTACATTAAAAGTACGTGTAATATGCATATTATTGTACCTTGGGGTCATTCTCCTTGGGTTTCAAACCATCACTGGATTTTTCATCATCATCATCATCATCATTGCTGTCAATCCAATCACGTGGAGAATACCATCTTATAAAATCCTCCAATACACAACCAGGATTAGCAGCCTGTGCATTAATTAGAACCAAAAATTAAGTACACATACTTTGTGCACATAAAAATTGTTACAAAATGATACGTGTAGAAATTAATTTTGGAGGTAAAAATATTGCAAAATGTGTCTTAAAATGTTCTCCTCCACATACCTTGAATGCTTGCATGTCTGAGAGGAGTGACATGCTTTGCATTTTAGCTCTCACTTGAGCTGCCTCCTCTGATGTCCCTAGCTTAGACAGAACACTCTGTTGCTCCCATAACATGTCTTCAGTTAGTGGAGTCTGCTCCTGTAAAGAGATGACATTCAATAAAATACATGTTATTAAGTATACTTGTGTTTCAGGGACATAAAGTTGTTCGTTAGATTTTAGTAAAGTCAATCCTTTAAAAGGTTTCAGTGCTCCTATTCTTATAGGCACTCCTTCTCCTCTTCCCTTCCCTCCTCCTCCTCCTCCTCTACCAGTGAACAGATCAGTGTCTTCACTCTCACTGGCAAACAGGCTAAGAGGATCAATATTAACAAGAGGCTCCAAATCAAGCTTTTTTGTTTTTGAGTCTAGCGAAGACACTGAAGAAGATCTCAAGTCTTCCTTATGGTGTTCTTCAAAGGTATCCTGAGCTTCAAAGAACTCCTCATCACTATCACTACTGGTGCTCTTGTGATACCCGGTTGATGAGGGAGGGGTTTGTGGGAGTGGCTGTTGCTCGCTTGATGTCTGACGTTGTATTCGCTGA